CACATGTGTTTAAATAGTTATGAGAAATTAAACCTAATGGATCTACCATAGCGAGCTTAATTGATGCACTTACAAAAAATAACTTAAAACCTTTATTAGTAAGCCTAAATTTTGATCCAAACAAACATTGGATCTTAGCTAAAAACCAAAGTACTACTATAAAAATAATAATGAAAATAGCAAGTCTGGGCAATAGCTTCTTGATGTCGCGTATAATAAAAAGAAAAACAAAATAAAATATGTTAATTTCCTAGTTTAAATAACTTTGGTCAAGATCCACCTTCTTGAATATTTTAGGATTACTTAGCCAACTTTTAAAGTCCTTTAGATGCTAGAAAATCTAATCTGAATAGAAATTTAATTGTTAAAGTCTTCTTTCCTTGTAGTACTAGAATTTCCTTCATAACATGAAAAATATTCTTGGAAATTAATTCTCATTGTAGCCACCCATCACTTTCCTCCCTTGACTAGAAGAATCAAATCTTTAGCATTAAATAATCTTTTCAAGTCTATGATTCAGACCTGATAGCCCTTCTTAGTTTACTTAACCAGGAAACTTACTTCTTTCTTGCTAAATATTATCTTAAATAATATGGACAATAATGAATGAATTTCCCTTTCAATTTAGGATAATGTTTTGTTGATTCTTGTATGAAAAGGATCTCAATATCTTAATTAGCCCAAGCTAATTTTGGACCCCATGTGATCCAAACTCATAATCATTAATATAACTTAAATCAGATATGATATAAGCTCCTATCAAGCCTACTTTACTACCCAAATTAGACTCATACATGGGTTAATCTAATTTAGCCGAATGAACCATTAAAGAGATTGAACCGAACCAGTCATCATGCACAAACCAAGGCTGCCTAAAACTATCAAATGTCAAAAACCTATTATAGCTTAATGGAACACAAGTGAAATTCCAAGAAAAACACAATCTTGGTCGAATGGCCTCCCCATCAAACCCAAGCATAAAATCAAAGGGCCTTCATGAGAAATCCATAGTTGAACTGTATCATTTTCTCTCTTCAAGAGAATCATCCTCAAATCTTTAATAGGAATAATGATTTTTTCATAGGCCTATTGTTTTATCCTTAAGAATTCTCTTCTTACTAGCGCTTAAATAACACTGGTATGGACATAATGTCTGATAAGGATTTCAAACATGTCTAACTAACCACTTACACACATACTTTTGAATAATAACAATGGCTACCCTCTTTTGGTTTTCATGCTTGTAGTGTTGTTCCATTGAAGCTTGAAGATCATAGAATAATATTTTACACTTGTCAACTTATCATTTTAAAACCCCTACACTAAGCCTTAGTTTCTTCTATTCTTGCTCTGGAATCCTCTTTTATTCCCTCTCTCTTGTTGAATACATGACACCTTTTTTAATATATCAAAAGACTCAATTCAACACAACCAATTAAAGTGAGAGGCTTTCGCGACGCAAACCAATTATGAATATAGACTCAAGAATGAATAAATATACTGAAAACAAGTAAAACAAAACTATAATTATAATTTCATGAATAGCAAAGAAAATTTGTATGAATTATCAATGAAATGAAAATGCAGAATAAAATAAAAAAAAATAATGAAGACACTTATTTGACTCTTAAATAACCCAAATATAATAGAAATAAATAGTAGACGAATACGTTTTGGAACTTGACACAAATATAATTATTATGCAATTTTAAAGCATCAGAATTGAAACCTACAACTAACGATATCAGAATGATCTAAAATTCAATATGTAGAATCCTAACACCCAACAAACTACATATGTCAATTTATAGGTTGTTCTCTTACGCCAAGGTAACAAAACTCATCTATGATCAATTTGCAATAGAATTAAACCCCAAATTGAATCTTTAAGCAAACGATATTGAAATAAGCTCAAATTTAATATATTATGTGATTTCACCCCCAATAAAAGTATATAAAATTTAAATTAATTCTAAGGTGGTTTACTTAGGGTTCTTTAAGAGTTATGTTTCTGTAGTAGAATTGCAACAAATTTTGAATAACATCTTTTTTTCTTTTTTTTTTCTTTTATTTTACTAATATGTTTATAAATAGTAACAAAATGAATTTTTTTTCTTTTTATTAGGATGCTACTGACACAAAGAAGAAGAAGAAGAAGAAGAAGAAGAAAATTGATGCAAAAACTAAAAAAACTTAATGAACACTAAGAAAACAAAAAATTCAGAAGGATATGACCAGTACTTGGAACCTTGATTTGACACCAATTTATGTACTTGAAACCTTGATTTGACACCAATTTATATGAACCTCTTGGTCACGTAAACCATAATTAGGATTGTGATCTAATCCCAAAAAGCTAAAAAAGATTTTATAGGAGTGTGACACGATAAAAACCTATCCCAAGACACCAACACTATTGAAATGAAATCAAATGGCATCACGAAATCAATTAATCTTTGATACGTTAAATTTAATTCATTCAAAAACCAAAGAATGCAAGAATATCTCTCACGCATTAAGACTGAAAAGTTTTGAAATATTATTCATCAAAGGTTTTTTTTTTCTTTAAAATTTAGGCTTTACATTTGTTTAAATAATTATAAGAAATTAACCCTAATAAATCTATCATTGTGGACTAAATTGATCACTTATAAAAAATAATCAAAACCTTTACTAGTAAGCCCAAATTATAATCCAAACAAACATTGGATCTTAGCTAAAAATAAAAGTATTAGTTAAGTTCAAATATAAAAATAATAGTGAAAACAAGTCTGGACAGTAGCTAGTTGATGTCATATATAATAGAAAGAAAAACAAGATAAAATATCTTAATTCCTTAGCTTAAATAACTTTTGATCGAGATCCACTTTCCTAGATTCTATATAGTTACTTAGCCAACTTTTAAAGTTCTTTAGGAAATCTGATCTGAATAGGAATTTAATTGTTAAAGTTTTTTTTGGTTATAGGATTAGGATTTCCTTTCAGAACATGAAAAATATTCTTGGAAATTAATTCTCCTTGTAACCGCCAATCACTTTTCTTCCTTGACTAGAAAAATCAAATCTTTAGCATTAAATAATCCTTTAAAGTCTAGAATTTAGATCTGACAAATGACTAGGAAACTTTATCATTTGTTACTAAATATTCTCCTAAATAAAAAGGATACTAATAAACAAATTTATCTTTCAATTTTAGGATAATATTTTATTGATCCTTATAAAAAAATAATCCAAACGTCTTAATTAGCCCAAGTTAACTTTAAACCCCATGTGACTCAAACTCATAATCATTAATATAACTTAAATCAGATCTGATACAAGCTTATTTTACTGCCCGAATTAGAGTCATATATAGGCTAACTTAATTTAATCAAATGAACTATCAAAGAGATTGGATCGAACCCATCATCATGTACAAACCAAGAATGTCTAAAACTATCATATGTTAGAAACTCATTATAGTCATATGTAACACAAGTTAAATTCAAATGAAAAACACAATCTTGCCCAAACGGTCTCCCCATCAAACCCAAGCACAAATCAAAGGCCTTTCATCAGAAATTAATAGCTAAACTGTATCAAAATGTCCCTTGTGCAAAACAAATAAAGCAAACACACCGCACACACTAGCATGTACAATGCATACACTTGTTTTTTTAATTAATATTTGATATATGCAAAAAATACCAAACTATCATTCAATTAATTTTCTTATAACCAAAAAATCAAGATTAAAATACAAGAAACCCCTTAAACACTACTCGAAAAATTTTACTTTTTAAGAACATTTCAATCATTTTTAAAATGTGAAAATGTAATAAAAAAATCTTAAACCCTAATTAAATAAATAATATTTTTCAAGATAATTCAATCATTTTGTAGTGCTTAAAATTTAAAAATATATAAAAAAACCTAGATGTAATTAAATAAATTTTTTTAAAAGTAATTTAAATATTTTACTATGCTGTAAAAATATAAAATGACCACACTATCTCTATTTAATGTGATAATAACCAATAAGTCCTAGAAAAAAACACATATTGCATTCAATAACAAATTCACTGATTTTTTATTTAGAAAAACAGTTTCATTAATACAAGTTTTAATCCAAAATACAAAGCTTCTAGGTGTACAGTGAATTATACCACTCACTCACTCACATGCTATAAATTGAAATTTACTCTCTTTTTAATTGAAGTTTTAAATTGAAATTTACTCTTTTTTTAATTTAAGTTTAAACTCTTTATTGGCCTACTTGATCGAGACAAAGGAAGAGCAAATCTTCTCTATCATTCACTTTCTCCCTTTTCTTTGATGCCCTCTCATTCTTCCTCTCCCGACTGTAACTAATACATGCTTAGCAGTTTTCTTCCAAAATCATGGAAGTAATTACTTTACAAATCAATATCAAAAGTTCGAAGCAGGGCTACATCACCACCATTTCTGAGCCCCCTTTGCAGCCCAAATAAAAATTAACCAAAATAAATATCATATTAATTTCTTATTAAATGCTTCATTCTTTCTAACTTATTTTTTTTTACTATATAATTTATTTTTCTATCCATGCCATAAACACATGATTTTTCTACAAATATATATTATTTTAATATATTTGTAAAAAAAAAAAAAAAAAACTTTATAAAACAACTGTAACATTTTCAATCCCCCACCCCCCAACTCCCCCAAACAAAGATTCATGTTCAATGAAAATGAAAAAGCTGAATTTGTTTTGCGGAAATGAAATGAAACATTATTATTTGAGAAGTTGAGGAAAAGTGTGGTTTAAAAAGATTTTTTTAAAAAATAACAATTAATTGTGGAAACAGATTCTGATTTTAAAAGAAGCATGTAACCCGTGCTTAAGGGATTACTACTTACAAAGCTAAAAATAATAAATATAGATTTGATTTTACCGAACACTGTCATGTTGAAATTTAAAAGCACTGTAAATAGATCCACATTTCATAACATTCATTGGAGATGAACTGTAAATACAACCAATAAAACAGTGATACCAAGGGGATATTATATTCAATTATTCACTATATTCTGAACGATAATTGAAGATTACCAAGTTGGTGACACATCATGATAAAAAGTAATTCAAGACAACCCTGCAGAGTAAGAACCAAGGATAACGAACACAATCGAAAGCTCCACGAGGCAGGATACAAATTTGAAGAACTAAATTCAGCTTACGCAATCTTTATATACATTGTCTGTTCACGTTTCAATGCACACTGGATGCGTAGGACTGGCAGAAACTCTATCATACAACATGGCCAATCTATAAATAATCTCTTCATTCTCGAACATGATGCCTGCAACAGTCAACCCAGAAAATCAATTCTACAAGTACTTGCCCACACTGCAGCCATATTCAACTGCATTCAAGTGTTATTTTGTTGAAAGAAATAACTTCAACATATGGTGTAACATTTTGGGCTCAATGCATCCGACTTCCAATCTATTTTTGCTTAATGGTTCAGCTATCAACTGCTAGCTAGTGCATTAGTGTCTGAAAAGAAGGATCGGATCATTGTTTATAAGAGAATGAAAAGTAGAACCTGCTCAAAGGGCCATCTCAGCCTGTAAGTTAGCAAGTTCTTCTTCCTCAGCTGTGCGTTTTTGAGGAACTGGTTTCTTGCCAGTTGGGACCTGCACTGGAGCAGCAGGAGCTGTTGTTGCTGGCTGAAGAAGCTGCTCTTCCAATTCAGCTCCTTCCAGTTCTTCAAGTTCTGCCTCCAATTCATCCTGAAAAGTTCCAACTATTTTAGATGCTCCAGCAGATGAGAACTTATGCAAAATTTCAAGAGCTAGGGCTTTAGAATTGAAAGAATTGAAATCAGCAATTGAAACACTGACCTCATCGAAATCAGCTGCAGCACCAATGGGGGTTGATAATGCTTCTTGAATCTGTTTCATGTTCTCTGTCTGCTCATTGATCTCATCCATCGTCTTGTCCACGTCATCAATATTCCTATAATCCATCATTTTCACATATATTAACCACATGTATTCGTATCATACAACTTCATTATTCAGATATCGACTGGACCAAGTTGAAGCCAAATAAAGATGGTGTTTCCAAGTTAGCAACCATTTGAAAAGAAATAATTAAAGGGAACAAGAGAATGAGAAACACAAACATTTTCAGGGTGAAACAAGCTTTATACAGTTAAGATTTGGGCACAGCAACCAGGAAAGTGAATATGTTGCCATCAAAGACAATAAGTAAACCATGCATGAAGATTCCATTAAAATTTTTAACTGATAAAATTGGTACATACGTTGCTTTCTGCATTGCCTTCATAGCAGCTGCACCAGTTCTTAATGCATCTACAGTTTCAGTAGTAGCTTTTGCACCTTCTAACATTATCATCTGCAACATTGACATCCAGAGCACAAAACTTAAGGTTTTACTCATTTAGCCAAAGACTTACAATGATTTATTAAGATACAGTTGAACCAAAAGCAATAGTAAAAACACCAGCTGACCTGATCATGAATGCGCAATTGAAAGTTCCCAAGTTGTTCTATTTGCTGCTCATACAGCCTCTTCCTCTTCAAACATTGAATTGCAGCTGAAAAAAGCATTGTCAATCAGTGTTTGACTAGCAAACAACCCAAATTTTATAAATAATGCTGCACTTGTTTCAAGATATATATATTCATGTAATAGATGTCTCTCTGATAAAAACCATTGCCAACAGCTCTGCACATGATTACAGCATAAAGATGATACTCCACATCCATAGTCACAAGATTCAACAAGCCACGATGCTAAAGCATAACAGCATTTCAAAGTATAAGATTTAATAGCTCAGTAGAGTTGTCGATTTCAATTAAGGAGTTATCCACAAAATCATTATCTAAGTAAAGAACTCCTAATGAGAATATCAGAAATATGAGAATCAATGAAGATTGAAATCAAGACACCATGACAGGAGTTGGATAACTGAAAGTCACTTGATGTTCCATGCAAAAGCAACAAGGGGACATTGACAGAAAAATAATGCGAATATTTAGCCATAAAAAAATGAGAAGCAATGAAACAGAGACATAGATCTGCCAACTTTCTGTAGCCCATTAAGTACACACTTGCATATGCATTGTAAAAGTTAAGGAAAAAGAAAGGTCTATAGCATTATAATCCAATTGCGAACATCAAATATCATAAATGGCCATTACGAACAAGCAATATCATACCCCTTTTGTTTTTCCCTCGGGTGAATTCCTTAGCCTTTTCAACTTCGGCAGCTGCCTTTTTAAGAAGCACCTTCTCCTTTTTCTCTAGCATTTCAAGTGTCTATATAATGCGGAGAATTAACATCTAAGTTAAATAGTAATAATAAATAATAATAAAAGAACAATTTTACATGTACAACTAAAAAAAGTCTAACTAACGCATAAATATAAAAAAATTTAGTTCCTAATCATAAATCCCAGATGACTCATTCTCATAACCAACAAGAAATTCATCAAAAAATAAAAGAGAAGAAGCCCATGTCTACAATAATAACTACTTTCGAAACACATAATTTCAAAGAAAAAAAAAGGAAAAAAAACCCAACCTCGTTTAATTTGTCTAACGTAGTTAGAGCATTGGTTTCCTGCTTAGGTTTTCCAAATAAGCGGTTAAACATGGCGGATTGTTTTCGTTTAAAAACCCTGCCTGTATGTTTTTCCTCGCGATCTTCTACATCGCAAACACAAAACTTAACGTTAGAATATTAAATCAAACCCAAAATCTAAGAATCAAGACAGATAGATCTACTTAAATCGAATTAAATTCAACTGAATAAAAGATCACGATAGAAACAGACCTGTGAAAATCGATCGAATTCAGAGAATAGGGTTCTTGATGATGTTGAAGAACACAGAGCGAGAGCAGAGTTTCTTTGTTTTGGTTTTTTTTTTTTTCCCCCTCTTAGGCGTGTTGTTCTCGTATTGGAGAGAGAGGAGGAAGCTACTTTGCACTTAACTCGTTCTTTTTCTTTTTTTTCTTTTGGGTCCCACTTTCCTTACTCCTTGAGATTTCATTGACTTATTTAACAAAATACTTCGAAGACTTATTACTTTCTTTCTTTTTTTTTCTCCTGGGGAGGTGTAGTCGGGAAGAAAAGGTTAAAAAAATAAAAACCTTTGAGGCTCTTCAAAATTTTAGTTACAGCATTAACAACAATACTGTTAGAAAAATTTAATAAAATAAATTTAATAATATTAAAAAAATTATAAATAATAAATAAATTAAGTCAGATGAGTTATTTAAAAATATCAAAACCTACCTCTCTTTGAACTATTGATATTGTACTTTTAATTATTATTTGTAACTATTATTTTGGTATTGATAGTTTTATTTTATTGAGATTTTTTTAATGGTAACATAAGATTGTTATTAAACTTTTTATGTGTTTTTATAATTTTTTTATTTTTTTATCTTTCTCTTTTCTCCGTATTAAATCTTATATCCATCAATTTTATAATTTAAGAGAGTTACAAATGAAATTTAAGACATGGAAATTGTAGATATCCATAAACTATATTATTTTCTTGTATTATGTTATTTTTTTTTTTTTTACTATGCTAGAATCCCAAAAACTTCATATTTTAGAAATAACTAGTCACATAACCTACGCATAGCCATAAATTTTTTTTGAATAAAAAATATCAAAAAAATTAAAATTTAAAAGTGTTAGGTCATTCTACAAAACTATACCTTGGGTTTGGTTGCAACGCCTGACCCAAGAATAATATTTATAATAGTAATAATAATATTAAACTTGTATGACCCAAGTTTAAGTGGGTTTCGCTGCAATACCTAACCAAATAACATTGGATATGGGTTTGACTGTAAAATTATATTATAAAAGTGTGATAATTAGATATATTAAGTAAAAAGAAAAAATAGAAAAAAACCAACATGAAAAAAATAACTAATGAAGAAAAAGAAAAAATCTAAATTAACTGGGTTAACCTTTTAAATCAGGTTAACCTGTCAAACATTAGATTCGTATCGTGAAAGTTTGATAAATAAATAGAAAAATAAAATTGATGGATTAACCCAAAATTAACTGGGCTAACCCATCAAACTCGAGATCCGTGTCATGAAAGTTTGATAACAAAATAGAAAAAAAAATTACCATTAACAAACTAAAATAAAAAAAAATTATTAAAAAGAAAAGAAAAAAAACAAACAAAAGGTACCAGTCTTTTCACTGTAGACTGCACTGTATAGTTTACAGTCAAAGATATAAAAAGACAAAATTGACAAACAAAAACTAATTGGGTTAAAAGAAAAAAAAACCTATAGAAAGAAAAAAATTAATAAAGAAAAAGAAAAAAATCTAAATTAATTGGCCGGTCAAACCTGAGATCCGTGTTATAAAAATCTGATAACTAAATAAAAAAAATTAATATCAATAAAATGAATTAAAAAATTAATTAAAAAGGAAAAAATAAAGAAGAAAAATCCCATACGAAGAAAAAAATAATGAAAAAAAAAATTGAATTAACTGGGCTAACTTGCCAAACATGTGATCCTTGTCATGAAAATTTTATAACTAAATAAAAAAATTAATTAAAAAGTAAAACAAACAAAAAGCATTAGCTTTTTCATTATAGACTGCATTATGCAGTCTAAAGTCAAAAGCATAAAAATAGAAAAAAAAAACTAAAGGCATCAATCAATAATTAAATAGAAAAAAATTTAATACTAATGAACTAAATTAAACAAAAAATTTTAATTAAAAAGAAAAAGGAAATAAAAAAACCTATAAGAAAAAAAAACTAATGAAGAAAAAGGAAAAAAATCGAAATTAACTAGTTTAACTCATCAAACCTGCATCATTCTTTTCACTGTGAATTGCATACAATATTAAAAGATAAAATTAAAAAAATCTAAATCAACTGAGTTAACCTGCCAAATAAGGTTAACCCATTAAACATGAGATTTGTGTTATGAAATTGTGATAACTAAATAAAAAAATATTTAATATTAATAAACTAAATTAAAAAAATATTAATTAAAAAAAAAGTAAAGAGAAAAAACCCATAAAAAGAAAAAAAAACTAATGAAGAAAAACAAAAAAATCTGAAGCAACTAGGTTAACCCGTCAAATCAGGTTAACTCGTCAAATCTAGGATTTGTGTCGTAAAATTTTGATAATTAAATAGAAAAAATTTAATATTGAGAAATTAAATTAAAAAAAAAACAAAGAAAAAAGCTAAAAAAAACTCAAGGCATCAGCTTTTTCACTGTAAATTGTATTGTGCAGTCCACAGTAAAAGATTTAAAAAGGAAAAGAAAAGGAATAAAAAACAAAGGTATACCCACAGGTTAATTTTTTTCTTGCATAAAAAATAAGAAAAGACTAAGATCTAAGAGTGTTAGATTTTTCTGCAAAGATATACTAAAAAATCTTGGGTCTAACTGCAACACTTGACCCAAGAGTAATATTTATAATATTAATAATAATATTAAACTCACATGACTAAAGTTTAAGTGAGTCTGACTGCAACACCAAACCCAAGAGCCTTAGATGTGGGTCTAGCTGCAAGACTGTATCATAAAAGTATGATAATTAAATAGATTAATTAAAAAAAAACAAAGAAAAAAACCAACATGAAAAAAAAAATTAATGAAAAAAAAAAGAGAAAATTTTCAATTAAGTGGGTTAATCCTTCAAATCAGGTTAATTCATCAAACCTGGGATATGTATCATAAAAATCCGATAACTAAATAAAAAGAAATTTAACATTAACAAACTAAACTAAATGAAAAAAATTAATTAAAAAGGAAAAAAGCAAAAAAAAAACTCTGGGTTACCTCGTCAAATCAGGTTAACCCATTAAACCCGAGATTCATGTTATGAAAATCTAATAACTAAATAAAAAAAATTTAACATTAACAAAAGAAAAAAATAGACGGGTTAACCCGTGAAACCTATGATATGTATCATGAAATTCTGATGACTAAATAGAAAAAATTTAACATTTACAAACTAAAGTAAATGGAAAAAATTAATTAAAAAGAAAAAAATTGGGTTAACTCGTGTAATCAAGTTAACCTGTTAAACTCGGGATTTGCATCATAAAATTCTAATAATTAAATAAAAAATTTAATATTAACAAACTAAATTAAATAAAAAAATTTATTAAAAGAAAAAAAACAAAGAAAGAAGAAAAAAATAAAAAGCATAAAAAAAAACTACTTAAAAAAATAGCTTAAAAAAAATAACTTAACATTTTACTGTGGATTGCAATAATAAAATGTTGAGTAGCTTTAGTTTTTCTTAATATGGTCTTCGGTTTTGATTATTTAGAAGTAAGGTCGACTCCCACCTATTTATGAATTTTTGTGTGAAAAATGAAGATAGAACAAAAGGTTCTTTTTATATTGTATAATGTAAGTTCAAGGTCACAGATAAAAGGTGTTCAAATTCAATATTCTCTTCATTACTTTTTTTATTGACTGTTATGCGTTGAAATTTGTTTTAATAAAAATATGGTTAGTGGATATATTTAAAGTAGGTTCCATTTAATTTTAAGGTAAACAATTTATTGAAAATTATCTTTTATATAAGTTCTTTAATATGAAATATTAATATGGTTAAAAAAAATTATGAAAGAATGATAAATTGATCTAAAAAACCCTTTGTTGACATGTTTGTTATAAATTCAAAAACCTTTTATCATACATAGAAAAAAAATATAATTGTATCTTAACTTATTTTTTAAATAATATAAACTAATAAGATAACTACGGAGAAAATAATGTTAACTAATCTTAATAAACTTCTTTCTTAGCCAAATTATCTTTTTACCAACCGTAAAAAGATCATTACTAATCTAAACCAATAAAATGACATTTACAGATGCCATTCACTACATAGAGTCCTTAATGCTATTAGAGATTTATATGTGATTAATACTTAAAAATGTATTTTTTATCAAGGTTTTATATCATCATTTTGCACTTGAAGTATCAATAACTCCTTAACTAAAACATGTTTTATAATAACATATATAATAATATAAGATACCTTTAATTTGTAGTAAATGTTCATTTTAAATGCAGGCCTATCACATAAATGAAAGAATTGATTGATGAGTTTAAGAACTGAAATTGAAAGGACAAAGAGATTGCCAAACTTAGAAAAGAGATGTTGGTGTAGTCCAAACCAGAATACTGTTCGGTAATTAGGTCATATCTGGAACTGTAGATCTCATATTTAACCCTACTTTATATGGATGGAAAGGTAAGACATAGGCTTACAACTTTCATATAAAGCTCAAATTTAAAAAGATCATTTTTAAGTCCAAATTGTAGCA